ATAAAATACTTGATTTTCTTTTTTAAACATGACAAATAGGAAGAACGGGAGCAAAAGTAGAAGGGTTGCGTGGAAAGGGGGGTGGGAGGGGGCAAAGGCCAGAGAGTGAGGTCTCGTGTTGTTGGGTTCGCGCAACCAGCCAACCATAAAGTTAAGTTTTTGCAGTTTTTTACCACTCACAATAAATAAAGCTGTTTTATTATTGTATTTTCTGCAGAGAGGCATGAATAAATTTTGTCTGGCCAAATAAATACCAACACACGCACACACACACACACGCATATGCAGAGCAACGCATTTGACAAGTTTATAAATTATCGACTATAAAGGAGAAAAAAAAAGGGGGAGGAGGAAAATGTGCAACTGATTGTTAAATTCCATTGAATGCCATTTGTGAGCAGAAATAATGGCATGCCACGTTTTAAACGGTAAGCATCATATGTTTGTGAAATATGCACGACTATGCCATAGACAAAAAAAAAGTTGTTAATGTTGCAAAATAACATGATATTATACCTCAAAGGAGGAAATACTATAATATTCAAGCATTCACGTACGGGGGGCAGCGACAATCCTAGCTGACTTGGTTTATGTACAACTATATTCAAAATCGGGCTTTATTTAATGCGACTTAGCTAATGTGCTTAAATACCCAAAAAGTCAAAGCTATGCCTAATCGATTCTATATATTTGTAATCAGGCTTCATTCCGCTCCTTGACATTAATCAGAATATATTAGTTCTTAGAAGCAAGGCTGTGGTTCGGTTCACGGTTCGTGCCAATGCCTCAACCCAAAGATCGGTTTGTAAATCTGGTTTTCCACATTTGGAAAAATATGGTCGAGGTTCTTGCATAAAAAACCTTAACCACACTCGAATAAGAAAGTTTTTTAGTTAGACAAGCGAAAAGCGTGCCCTAAATGGTCTATATCCCAGGCTATGTACTGCCCAATATTAAGGCAGCTATGCATTTATTTTGGGCTCAAATATGCAACAAGCATATAAAGCCAATAAGATCTAGACCAAGAATGTATAAATTAGGATGAATAAACCTAATACTTCGGCAATTTTATTGCACAGATACTTTCTGCGAAACTTGTCCATCATCATTTCATCTGTATAGATTCTTCTAGCTATCGCATCCGGCCAATCACTTCTCACTTCTTTCTCTGCGTCTTTTTCATCCCTCACTCTGCAATTATTTCTACTATTCCCATGGAAACACTAACAAGTATTAATGTTATAATGAAATGTAACAGCTTCGACGGCAGTTGCCTAGGTTTCTCCTAATCAGAGCCAACGCACGAATGTATCTTGGGTTAGGCCCATATCAGGTTCATTGGGCAAATCGATGAAAAAGCAATTCACTCGACACAAAATCATTTGGGTATTTATAGACAATTGTGCATCTGGCCAAATCATCAATCATCATCCAATCATTATGGCAGCCAGCAAATTAGCAACAGTCGCAGCCGCAGCCGCAGCAGCCATTGAAGCCGAATAACAAGCTTTTGGGCTATTGTTGTGTTCGGATTCCAAATTAAAATTAATTGGCAGTAATACACAACAAAGGGCAATGATAAGAACAATCGCATGTTTAATAATAATCGCATTAAATTACGTAACGTGTGGCACATAACGATCAAAAACCTGGCCCGGCCCATGGGGCGTATGCGCAACGCCTGCAGCCCACGAAAGCGCACAGAAGGGGTCAAGTGACAGCCCACAGAAATTCATCAGCAATTGTACGCATAGACGTGTGCCCCACCTATTGCCATAGAGTACGCCCACGCCCCATCCCGCCGACAACACCTCTATTGAGCTTCCGCTAACATTTTCTCCGGCCCCACACAAAATACGAGTATGTAGAGTGTTATAGTCGAGTGTGCCCGACTGGGAGATACCCTAAGACCAACCCTAGGTAAACACTGCGCACTATGCAAAAGGGATTCTTGGGTGTTTGAAGTTCGATCCTTGTGAATCGGCAGCCGAAGGTGTGCAGATACGAATACTCAAGTTTATTCTTTAAACTAATTTTTTTATTAATTTCCTCGCGAATTGTTGAGATATCCAAAATATTGGATCATTTGGATGTGCGTACACTATATGAGAACGAACAAAGTATATTTGATGCGTCTTGTAGATCTTTTTGTTTTGAGTTGAGCTTAAAACAGCATGTATCAAAACCGATATATATCGATGTTATAAAATATAAAGAATATTAAGCTCTAATTTCAAGTCTCCAGCTTTTTGAGAACGATGCGTTCTCACAGATGCATAGACTGCGCATCGTCCTGATCAAGAAAATAGATATATGTACTATATGGCTTGCTTCCATCGATCTGTCACATACTTTGGCACAATAACAACATACCCCATTCACCCATTTTGAATGGGATCAGAGATGCAAGACACACAACGGGAATGTGAGAAATTCTCTCAATTCTGACACATCGAAGATTTCATGCTCTCACTTAGAGCTATGCTACATAGAACACACAGACACACACACACACACACGCACACATTTAGACATATATCATTGATTCTAGATAAATGCTAGACTAAGTTTTTGTATGCAGCGTGGTGTTTGTGTGACAAACACTCTGGCTTGAGGAATTCGATATCATTTGACTTGACTTTTCTTGACTTGATTTGATTTGATTTGAGTTCAGTCTTACCTTGGCCACAAGTTGGAGGCTGTGCTGTGCGGTGGCAATAAGTGAGTATATTTTATATATTTGTAGCAGCCGACAAAGCGCTGACTGATATGCAACAACAATAACAATAACAATAACAATAATAAAAATAAAAATAACAGAAACACAAAACATCTCTAGACATTGTTTGCTTGTTTATAAAAACGAACTTTTTATTGCCACAAAGTGGCAGGCGACAAGCCAGAAACGTGGTACGCCACGCACAGCACCATGTGGCGTGGAAGGGGGCGGGGTCGGACTTGCTTCTCTGTGTGTGGCTGTGCCGTGTGTGCGTGAACGTGTGTATTGTTGTTGTTGCCTTCAGTTGCTGTGGCAAGCACACAGGAAACTTTTATTTACGACAATGCCGAATTTCGAATGCATTTTTTTGTACACAGCAAATTAAATTGACAAGTTAAAAGTTTCGATGCGCTGCCATTGGAAAGATTTGAGTTTTCACTCTGAAATTCCCTGCATATTATTATTAACACTTTATTCATATAACAGATTGCTCCAATATCTAATTAGTTCTTTAATTCTTGCCTGCGACATTACATAGAAACCTAAATATATATTCATGTATGCTTGCCAGTGTGTGTGTGTGTGTGTGTGTGTTTTGTTTACTGAATTGATGCATAATTTATCTAATTTTGAAATTGATTGTTAATGTTTTCCCCCCGGTCTATAGGCCTTAGTCAGCCTTGCCACCCCATTCCCAGCAATTTCTGTAGACAGTCGCTTCGTTTGCTTGTTTCGCTCGGAAGTGTTTGTGACTTTTATGATTTGGCTTTGATTTGATTAAACCTCAAAGCGACACACATGTGTGTCTATGTGTGTGTGTGTATGTGCACACACTGCTGGCAACCTGATTGGCATTGCCAGGGACAAGCAGCTCGGTTCCCAATGAATGAATCCAATGAATGGCCAAAGAATTTTCCCGTCTCAATGCAATTTTCCAGCAGCGCCAAACGCCAGCACACTTTTTCCCAATTTTTTTTTGGTTTCTCCCTTTTACTCTGCTTTATACTCATTTTGGACTTTCATGCTTTTCCATTTTCAGCTTTTCCATCAATTCACTTGATTTGCTTCAACATGAAATGCTTCTGGATTAGCTAATTAACTTGTTTTCGTTGCAGCAATGACATTCGTTTTTTACAGATTTCTATCTTTTTTAGGTTATGTGAATAAATTCCTATTGATCGAGGCGAATTGGCGAGATATCTTTAACTGGGTAAACATATTTAATGTTATTTTTTTTGTTATTGAATGTGAATGTGAGCCAATTACGTATATTTCAATGCATTTTACACATTTTAGGCTGGTATAAAGGGAGTTTTTTAAACGATGTTGGACTTATTTTAGTTCGTATATAGTTTTATTTACAAATATTTAATAGCATATGCTATTTCGTGTTGTAAGCCAGAACAAAGCATCTATTCAATAGTCTAAAGTCAGTTCCAGATTTTAGCCAGTGCATATAGATTCTTACTCGATGATAAGAACAAGACTTAAATCTTTTAAAAATCATTTTAACATCAATTAATAATCTTGTCATATAGAACGACGTTTTTGAGCTCATAAAGTATATAAATAATTTCCCTGTCTGTCTAAAAGGATTTCTTTAACATCATCTATCGAAGATTCCTAACCTGTCTACTTAGATAACTTATTTAGAGTCCAAGCTGTCTGATTGTATCAGATCGAGGCCTCAAAATACTACTCAAAATAATTCCACATTAAATTTATTATATATGTATATATAATGATATATATTTCTTTTGTATTATTTATTTTTAAATGAATGCAAATAAAATGTAGATGGCTCGGCAACTACAAAAGAAATGTGTGTACTTATTTTTGTTTTCAATAGCATTAAGCCTGAAAGAGAAATAAAATATAATACTATATAAACACACGCACACACACACACCAACACAGAGAGGCGCCATCACAAGCGGACTTTTGAGAAAAACACATTAATATTAACGAGCATTTTTATGGCTTTCCAATTGATGGAATGAATAGCTCAAATGCTTTACTGCAACACAATTTCCATTCAACAACACACCCAACACCCTCCCACACACACACCCTCCCGCACACACACACACACACGCACACACAATTTGCTACGCTGTCAATGAGCGTGAAAAAAAATCTGTGGAATCTCGAGCCGCAGCAAGAAGTGTAGGCAAATTATTTTAAATATTGTAGAATATCAATCAGCAGCATTTTCATGCCGCATCCCACCCACTCCCACCCCCTCCCCCACCCCCTTGCCGATAACCATAAAGAAACTTACCTAGCTGTTGTTTGGTTGTTGTTGTTGTTGTTTTAGTTGTTATTGTCGTTGTTGTTGTTGCTGTTGCTTTTGCTCCCTTGTTGCTTTAGGCGCGTAAAGTTGTTCGCATTTTCTTAGCCGAATTAAATTTTGCTTGTTTGGCGCCTCTTGACACTTCTTCTTCTTCTTGTGGTTGTTGTTGTAATAAACATTGTTTTTTAATTATTGTATCTTCTGCTGTTGTTGCCTTGTCGCCTCACATGACGCCCGCGCGCGCCTTGCACACGACTTGACCCAACAGAACAAACACTTTTTCGCAGTTTTTTTTTTACTTTTGTCACACACGCGGCTTGTTGTTGTTTTTGCAGTTAATTGTTGTAAACAACAAATGTTGGTTTTTATTGTTATTGTTTTTGTTTTTGCTTTTATTGTTGTTGCAGTTGCATTTGCTTTTGGCTATTGGCTGTGGCTTTGCTTTTGCTTTTCTTGCTGTTTATTGTTGTTGTTGGTTTTCTTTTTCCGTTTGTTGTTGTTGTTGTTGTTGTTGTTGCTATTTCGGCCTTTTGTTTGTTTATGTTAATAACTTAAATGCAATTGCTAATTATTTTATGATATGTATAATTAATTGCATTTACTTTCGTAATATATTTGGACTCTATTTCAGTCTATTTGAGCTTCATTTATTATTTATGTATGTATTTTCTTTTGTTTTTAATAATTTAATTATTATTATTTAATTTTATTTAAATAAGTGAATGATTAAATAATCGAGTATTTAATGCATTTCTTGTCCGTTTTGTCTTTAATGTATCAAGTCTTTAGCTGTTAATACTTCATCTTTTTCATATTCTGTCCATTATCAAACTGTTCAATCCCACGAACTTGTGTGCTATAAAGAGACAAAATTTCAAAATCAATTAAATTTGAAAATGATTTATTATACGAAAATGCGCGCATCTCAGATTCAAATGCTCAAACTAATTAATATATATAATAATAAATTAATTTAACTTTTTAGACGTAAGCACAAGAAGTTTTCTCAAAAATAAAATATTTATCTATGCAGGCAAGAAATATATTTTATATTTTCATTCAAATTAGGTTTTAGGCATCTCTTGAGCATTTCTTTCTCACTAAGCTCTAGTTAGCTCCAGTTGAAAAACTCTCAAATTTGTGGGCCGCTCTCTAGTTCACTTCTTCAGTAAACTACTTATATATCATCGATCCCTATTTGGTCGAAAAGGGTCTCAAAGTGTTAGTGTCTGACGTTTCGTGCTCAAATTCATTTGTGAGGATCTTTATGCAAACTCATTTGAGACGTGTTTCACATTTTTCACGGGATCATACCTTCCTCAGTGAAAAATGCGGATCAAAGATTTTTCAAGCGACGATAGAAGTTTTGTCCGAACGGCATCAAAATTTATGTAACCACAAAACTTGCCACGGGCAAGGCCGGGTAATACACGCTTTAGAGCAAGGAATCAAATTGGGTATTTAGTATTTTACAATAATACATTTTCAGTCAGTTTGCGGGCTTTTTGTGCTTTACTGTCGAATTTGTTGGCCTCCCAATGCAACCCTTTGAGAATAAAAAGTTAACTATAAGAAACAGTCTCTGTCTGGTAGAGAGAGAGAGAGGGAGAGAGAGGGGTTGCATATAGGTATGCTGCAATAAATTTCACCTCATAAGCCAATAATAACGAAACTTTTGTGTTGCACATTTCGTGCCTTTCTGCCAGCCGCAACCAAGCATGCCACTGCCACCGACTGCCTACCTGCATCAGAGTGCCCTACTTTTGCAACAAATACAAGTGCAGCAATAAGATTGCTATTTAACAGCGACTTACACACACACACACACACACACACACATACACACACCCACACACACGCATAGACAATGAAAATGCGAAAATTGCATACGAAATGTAACGAAAAGAGGAGCCCAAAATTTATCGAGACATGGCAAAAGAGAGAGGCAGATAGAGAGGAAGAGGGAGAGGAGGAGGCGGAGAGAGAGAGAGAGAGAGAGAGAGAGTGTGTGTGAGGGACAGGTTTGAGGGAATGAAGGAGGGCTGCACTTAAATGAGGCAACGGCCACGAGGTGAAACTCTCAGACATGCCTAGTAACTACACACACACACACACACACTAACACACACACACACCTTCGAGGGGTAGGTTGGGGCAAACAGCTTATATGCATAATGAGGCACACCTCGCACATAGGAAGCGCGGGGCCACAATATAGAGCAATAAACAAGCCAGCATTTCCGGGCTGGCTTTCGTTTTCGAGACAAACACAAAGACAAAGGCAACGGCAAAGGCAACGGCAACGGCAAAGCAAAGACGATGACGGTACGATGACGATGCCAATGCCGATGACGATGCCGATGACGATGACGATGGCGAAGTTGTACTCAATGGGAATGTCGGCCAGTATGTTGTTGGCCCCCTTCGGCCAGAGCGACGTCAACGGACGCGCTGTGTATGAAAAGTCATGCCATCCAATGAAACATTGTATAATGCCACACACACACACACACACACACACAAGCACACTCACATGCAAATTGCCAAATACTTGGCCTGCCCTTACATAGCTTCGATTTCTCTGGCGGCGCTCAGCAGCCCATTTATCGAACTTTATATATATATATCTATATATATATTTATATATATACATGTATATATAATTAAATTATGCTTGACTTGTTCAAAAGCTTTGTTAACATTGCAATTTGCATAGACGAAAACACATACCCTACCAATTTGTTAATATGTATATATAAATATATATCTACGCATATAATGATATATAAATATATATATATATATATATATATATATATATGTCTGTGGCAGCCACACTTCTGGTAGGCGGTGCCGCAACGACAAACCTAGTCGACATAATTGGGCCTCGGCAAGTTTATGAACAAAATATTTTAACGAAACTAACTTTGCAACTTAAGCAAATAATCACGTTTTGCGGGTATAACAAAAATATAGAAATATAAAACTATACAACATTTTAAAAACAATTAATTAAAACTAAAATCTGACTGACTGACCGATTGGTGATCACTGTAGTTAACTTATTTGATGAAGGTGAAAACTAAGACGGGGTTTCGGGAAATTCCACCCGCAAGTATGGAAAAAACGTTTGAATGACTTTTACTTTTAATATCTACCATCCGATCGGCTTCAAAATATTTTCAAAAATCTTTGAAAGAATTTATTTTATACGTGCCATGGAAATGTAGCCAAAATCAGCATTAAATGTTAATTTTTTTTATTTGACAGTCGAAAGTTGTAAAAAATAGGGCGAACTTAAGGCTGAATTAAATGTTGAGCTAAGCCAGGCTCATAATACGAATCTTAAAGCGGGACATTGGTTGAATCCATAAAGGAAAAACTGATAAAGTTTATAAGTCTTGATATATTCATAGATATATAAACAATAGATGCTCTTAATAAAACAAAAATATTGAGTCCGAAATAAAATTCAATGAAGGATTGTATTGTGAAGGCTTAACAAAAGTTCTCTTGCTATTATAAGCTTATTTGTAAACGATATTTCGGAATAATTTCTTATATATTTTTCTCGCATAAATGTCAAAAGCAACAGACCAAAAGAGTCTTACGAGTTAATTAAATAATAATTAATAAGTTGCACTCTTGCAAAAAGGATCCCCGAGTTTCAAATGGATTGCACTAGTGCAACTTCAGATGCCAAACAATTGCAAATATTTGAGAAAAATGTCGAGTGCGCCACGTGGGGGACAGGTTCCAGTTCCCGGCCTCAATTGGTACTAAATTTATTATGGGTATTATCGGGCACGCCTCTTTGAAGACATGACAGACTTAACAAGCAGCATACGACTCGGGCAAAGACTCCGCCATATTCGTGTTGCCACACCACGAGAAACAAACATCGCCAGCAACAGCAACAACAACAACAACAACGACAACAACAATGGCAGCTCACATGCTTCCATGACTAGACAAGTTTTGCCTGACCCCCATCTTCTGACAGCCCCCCTTCAGCTGGCTCCTACTGCCCGCAAGCGCCAAGTGCATAGAATGCACTTTAAGCAAGTTAGCGCCGCGCTATTTAGCGCAGTCGAACAGCTGCCCCGCCTTCCCGCGCACCCCCCGCAGCGCCTAGAAGCGCGTTAGCACTTTTCGAAGCATACTTGTGAGCGCTGGGCAAAACTGAGCGTAACGCAGTTCGATGTGGACGCCGGCGTCGCAGCTGCATCTTCTTTTCATTATTTTATTTTTGGTGCATTTCCGATAAGAGAGAGAGAGAGAGCGAGAGAGAGAAAGAGAGTGAATGTAATTGCTATTTAGACAGGCTGCATACAATTATGTTTGCCAATATGTGCAGATGTGTGTGCATGTGCGTGTGCGTGTGCTTGTTTGTTTGTGTGTGTGTTGTCTCTGCCAGATTTGATGGCGATAGCTGCGGCAAGCAAGTTAAGCCCCACTACAACAACAAACACACACGCACACACAAGCAAAGAGAGAGCATACACATATTGCAAGTGCATTAAAGAGAGTTTAATGCGCTTTCTCTCTACTCTCTCTCTCTGTCTACCCTAGGGCAAGCCAAAGACTATTTAAAGTAGGACAACGGGGCCAAAACAGGCAAACAGCAAAAACAACGACAATGACAACAAAAACAACAGCAGCAACAACAATAAAACAACCGAACACCAACACAATGAAAGCATGTGTTGTCGCAGTTAATAAAGGAAGCGGCCTCACTTTTGTTTTAAGCCCGCATTACGCGCAGTTGCCGTTATGTAGCGACTAGGCCGAGCATGCATTAAATATCAAAAAATGTAAAGCAGCAGCAGCAACAACAACAGCAACAACAACAACAACAGCAACAACAACAACTGGCGAGCAGCCGCAGCAACAACAAGAACAACTCGACTTTTTAGCGACATGTGATATTTATATTTTTAATCCGTTTTTAAATAAATTAGGACAGATAAAAAGAAAAACAAATATAAAAAATACTGAAAAACAAAAAAAAGCGACTAGCTTTTACATAGCCGAATATAGAATGCCCTAGAGAAAAGCTGACAGGCGGCTTAGCAGACATGTGTGAAAAAAGATTAAACTAGCAAATGTTGACTTGTGTCAAGATATAATGTAAAACAAACAAGAACCTAATTTTCGACCGATTATGTGACTGATATATGACTATATTATACATGAATATATGACCGA